GTCTGCTCTTTCACTCGTGTGGATGAACAATGGATGTGGATATGGAGTGCGGCAGTGCCCGATATAACAGTCGTATGCTCCTTGGCAGCTGGGCTTCGTTATCTTAACAGCTCAGACGTCGCTATACACCATCCTGCCAGATCTCCACAGTTCTTCACCGTCGTTCACCGCCTCGTCCCGTCCTCGCTATGGCCTCAATTCGACTAGCGACCAGGACCCTTACCTAAATGGGTCTGACCCACTACTCAGGGCATAACTTTTCGTTCTGATCAACTGCTAACATGTCTTTCTTATAGATTGTCTACTACTAGCTGTACCTACTTCCTCAGCGCCGAAAAGGACTTGCACTGTTCGTACTCACCATCGTCATCGCCATCTCTCGACCCAAGGCTCACACATCAGCCTAGATCTCAGTCGCCAGTACCCTCGACGATATACCTCTAGCCCGGCGGACTCGTTAGCTCGTGCTCTGCCCTACGACATCCCTTTTTACTAAGGGATATACGAGACCGCGTCAATCAGTCTTCTGGATGAAATCTGCGCCTTCTTCGACCTTTTCCGCTCGTGTTTTTGTACACTCCATTCGCTCACTACACTAATTGTATTAATTCTGCAAAGGTATGGATATCTACTAGGTTCTGGACGGGGAACTCCCGCTAACGAAATCTATCCAGCTCTGTACCAACACATTCGACCCTCAGCACTAGAGGATCGCCGACTACAGACCTTCTTTTACATACCAGCTAATCACACTCTTTGTACCGTTGCCTTTCAGGCTGCCACTCTCTAATCCGGCTCATCATTCGAAGCTGTCCACTCACTAAACCCCCTACACCCGACCACGTCTATCCCGGAGACCTGACGATACTACCCGATACATACCGAACACATCAACATGGCGTACCACCAACAACAACAATCCCGCTACGGCCAGTGCGACTCCTACTTTGTAGAGTCACACGACGATGGCATCTATGCCATGCGAGCTGAGGCAAGAGAACGCCACCGAGCTGTCTCTAAGATGCAACAACGAGCCATCGCCGAAGAGCTATCAAGAATGACCGCTGATGAATACCAAGAAGACATCATGCAACACATGATCCACATGGAAGGACAAACCCTACCAGACGTCAACTCCATTGACATCCAAACCGAGATCCAGTGGTTCATGCGCCCTTACCTCCTCGACTTCTTGGTTGAAGCCCACGCTGCCTTCCAGCTGTTGCCCGAGACCCTCTTCCTGGCGGTCAACCTCCTTGACCGCTACTGCTCCCGCCGCGTTGTCTACAAGCGTCACTACCAGCTCGTTGGCTGCGCAGCCCTGCTCATTGCCGCCAAGTACGGTGACAAGAAGGACCGCGTACCCACCGTACGGGAGTTGAAGTCGATGTGCTGCTCTCTCTACGATGACGAGATGTTCACTCAGATGGAATGGCACGTTCTGCAAACCCTGAACTGGATGATTGGCCACACCACCGTCGACGCATTCCTCCAGATCGCCCTCTCGGAAGCACCATACGATGCCGAGGTTGAGCACATGGCTCTCTACATCGCCGAGATTGCCCTCTTCCACAAGGAGTTCGTCTCCACCCGGCCATCCGTCCTTGCCCGATCCGCCCTTGCCCTCGCGAGATGCGTCCTGTCCCGACCCCAAGCACGCAACACCGACTGGTCTGGTGCTTACGACCCTCAAACAGTCATCGGTCTGTCTAACCACCTGTATCAGCCGTCCCCGGTACTTTCCCGCAAGTATGCATCCATGCATCTGTCCACTGTGTCCGCCACCGTCGAGGAATTCCTGCAAAGACAAGCGCAGATCGCGCGCCGCCAGGCTGCCCCTCCTACGCCACCCCCGACCGTCACCATCGAGGAGCCCAAGCCCGTGCCCAATGTCAACGCTTACCCGCAGACGCCCAACAAGAACCCATACAGCTCTGTCATGCAGAACGGATGCCCCACCCCACCGATTACGCCTGAGGGTGAGCACTTTACGTATGGTCACGTTGTCAAGTCACAGCCTCAATCAATGTATCCCACGACACCTACTCCGGAACACCAGTCCACGATGCAACATCAGGGTCAATACTTCCACAACCAATACCTCCATGTTTAAAAGATCACCGCGCCAGGCAGTGGCTATTCTTACCGCTGTCGAAAAACTCAACTGCCATGGACTGTCATGATCACATCCATCGCGCTCCGTTGTACCAAAAATACTCGTATGAGCGTCATAGCAGGTCATTTCTTCCAGCATTTACAAGCGTCTTGTTACTGTTATATTGCGATATCAAAGACGTCACTTTTCTGTTTCGAGCATTTCTTTTGTTAGGTCCGACCAAAATTTACCGGTCGTCTGCTGCCATGCGCACGGCATTAGCCTGCGGTGGCTAGTGGAGCCCAGATCAGGTCGAGCACCCTTTCTTCTTGGATATAAAGTCCATCTAATACGGGTTGTTTGATCTGTTCTGCAGCATGTGGGGAGGATAAGCGGCTACAGGCTGAAATTGGAAATACACAAGCCAGCACAACCAGGCTCACTCGCAACTGTTGTTTGCTTACGCGAGCCGAGATACCCTTCCTTTCTCAATCCAAAACTTTTTTCGGACACCTCATTTGTTCACGGTTGTCTATTTTCCTTTTGCATATGCGGTGGAACGGTGAAAAAGTGTTGAAGTGATGTGGGCGTGTTGTTGCAAGCTCATCAGAATGTTACTGGACAGCCGGGCTGGAAGAGCTACGAAGAGCATCAATAGTATAGAAACGGTCGCCCAAAATTGAGGAATTGGTCTTCCATGCTCGCTTTCGCCCTGGCATCCCGTTGTTTCTGTGTTTCATCATGCGATATTCTTGGTGATATATGTTGGGCGAGTGGATGCTACACAGTCCACGCCGCAGGGTACACGCATGTTTCACAGCAAGCAATGCCATCTCAATTGCTTAAGATTGCCTTGCTCTGCTCATCGAAGCACGCAGACCCTCCTTTACTCAACTGCAAACGCTGGCGAGTATGCCTCTAGTAAGTATTACACGGCGCCTGTAGGGGCCTATCAGCGCTTCCACCTACTAACCGCCCCAGATCTCTATTACTACCGCAAACTCGTCTAAAGCAGGCTACAAACTGCTCTCACCCTATACCGACGATGATACTACTTTCGCACACAATACGCTCTGTCCGCGTTATGCCGAGTCCGACCCCACGTCTGCGCCGCCGTCCCCTGCGTCCGTCGAGTCCTTCGAAATATTGGACAGCATACCTTGGCGGAGAGGCTACATATCCCTGGACAATCATGGAAGGCAAAGCGGCAATACACTACGGAGTCGATGGATGAGGAACAAAGTTCGCGCTATGGTGCTACTTTTCCTCCTCACTTTGCTTGTAGCTGGTTGCGCGCTAGGTGGATACATGACAATTAAGCATGGGAAAAGCAAAGCCAGCACAGACGCCGCATGATCATGCATACAGAAAGACGACACATGGGAAAATCCTCGCTCATCCTCGAAAACAGGAAATCGACGATTATCTCCCAGCCTCGCCGTTTCGGCATACGCACTGTCAGGAAATCAGTGGATGTGGCGTTGTCCGGAGTACCCGACAGCAAATCCCGTGCAAGGAAGGCCCCTTGACACAGCCAGCCACGTCTCCGCAGGAAGAGGCAAATAACAGTCTTTGGGCGACAAAGGAAGGTGCGCTGTATGTCAGACGGGTCGTTGAACGACAAGGGATCAACGCGGTACGCTTAGTGTTGAGGCGGATCAGCTCACCGGGACGCGATTTGGTGTGTTGCAGATTGCGATGCGTTGGCGGCATGTAGTGGCTGGGGTAGCCCTACAGGTTCACGGGATAAAGTCCGGCAATGCATTTAGAAACAGAGTCACGCGGCTACGAGCATACAGAGCATAGGTTCGAGAAATCAGTGAACCTGAGTTCAGTCTAAGATACGATAGGATTTGTTCAATGATGTTGTGCTGTGGACGTCCTTCTGAGGTTCACTATCGCGGCTCACGTGAAGCCTATCTTATCGCAACATCGCGATACCGCATGTTGGAGGACACACCAATAGCACACCATAATCTCACACTTGGCCAAATGTTCCGCGATGATACACAATGACTTTGACTGAGCCTTAAGACGATGTCTAACATTGACAGCAGCGCGCCACTACTTACAAGCGTCGCGACACCGTCCTCACCGCCATCACGCAGTCCGTCTCCAATGCCCTTGCCCTCTCGCAGACGTGCAATATGGCCTCTCGTGCTTCTTCTCCTCTTGGTCCAGCTATCCTCTGTTCTATACACGTTACCTCTCAATCGAGTGATAGAGTTGCGATTATGTCAAGAACATTATCAAAAGCATGATGTATCTGTCATTCAGCCTGATGGCTCGATACCGGAGCTGTTGTGTAAAATTAAGGATGTTCAGAGGAAGCTGGCGTGGCTGCAGGGCAGTATGGACACCATGAGTGTTGTATTTGGTATGTGATAGATGAGTTTGGTATTTAGAGAAGCCGTTTGTGCTAATACTGTGTACATCAGACTTCGTTGTGACTATACCGTTCAGCTTCATTGCGGAGAAGTGGGGTGTCAGGACTGTATTGTGGTGCAATCTTGTCCCAAGGATTGTGATGAGCGCATGGGCTATTGTTGTTGGTATGTATCGTCCCAATATGAACTGTGTCGATCGCAGTGCTTCATCAAAATATATTATTTCCCAACAAGGTTATGTCCATTGTCTAAAATATGCCAGGACACCTTCCACATCTCCTGCCAACAGAATCGATCCTTGCAGGCCCGATCTTCAATATCCTAGGAGGCGAGTGCGTCTTCCAGTCAACGATCTTTACACTTACTTCCGCTTTGACGAGCGAGTATGTTCAGCGGTGAGTAAACATTCTACCATATAGAAGAACATGCTGACTACCAACAGCGCATCCTACTTCTCTTACATCAGTTCAACCTCATACATCGTCTCCTTCATGGGCCCAACCCTAGCAGCGTTCACCATGAGCAAGAACCTCTGGCTGCCCTTCTGGCTCAACATCGCCCTCCTACTCTGCGCAATACCAACAATCAGCTTACTCCCCAACACCACGAGCCCTCGACACACCACCAGAAACCCCATGCCCGGACCCGTAGAGGAAATAGAAGAAGCCGGGCCCTTACTCGACAACACAGATACCAGCCCAACCCGCTACAGCACCGCTTTCAAGCCCCCACCCACCATCTACCAAACCATCACCCAGACCCTCCATCGACTACGTGATCTAGTGCTTGGGAGATATAACTTCCAGGTCCTCTTGGTGACTTTCTTCTTCACTGCACTAGCAAGTTCCGACACAAAGCTCCTCGTTCAATACATTTCCAAACGCTACAACTGGACCTTCGCGCAAGCGGGATACCTGCTCTCGGCCAAAGCACTCGTGAACCTCACGTTGCTGGTGGTAGTTGTCCCCCGGCTTATCCGCACGTCGATGTCGGCGAAAGCTGTGAGGGGTGATGTTAGATTGAACGTGATGGGCGCGAGGGTAAGTATTGCAGTGTCGGTGCTGGGTGTGCTTTGTATAGCTGTGGCCGGAAAGTTCTGGATGTTGCTTACTGGTACGTTCTCTCTTGCGTTCCCGTGATTCGTGGATTATGTGAGCTGATGTGTCTAGCACTCATTATATACGCCCTGGGTTCTGCTCTGCCGGTGTTCACCATGTCGCTGGTCAAGTCGTCGCTTGTCGCGCTGGAACATTCTGATGCGCAGGACTTCAGTATCGTCATGTTGACTAAGACACTTGGGTCTTTGGTTGGCGCGCCGTTGATGACTGTGCTATGGGTTAAGGCTATCGAATGGGGAGGTGCGGGACTGGGGTTTCCGTATGTGGTGTCTTGTGTAAGTCAACACCCATCTTTGTTAGGGAGCATACTGACTGCTTCTAGGGGCTGTATATATGTGCATTCGCCATTTTCACCCGTTTGCGCACTTAGATTTTCAAAAACTACCATGGATTGTAAAATCATGTACATCAGAAGGAAAAATATCTGCAAAGATGGCCGTCTAATTGGTTGTATACTTCGCCCCATTGTCCATCCAACTACTCATCTCATACTGACCGGACATGTCCTCGCTCTCTCCACTACCCCTCCCCGGATCCATAACCCTGTCCCTCAGAGAGTCTCTCACAGACTCATGACTCACAAGCCTGCCTTCACTCCCGGCTGAATCCCTCTCCCTCCTCGCCATGACTCTTGCCCCGGCGCCATCCATATCGTTGCCAAAATCCCTCTCCATGACCATCTCCTCTTTGTCAAGCATCGCTGTTACACCCCTTCCGTTCCCATGGACAATGATGCGGGTCTTGTTCAGAGAGTGTTTGACTGGCTGTTTTGCGTTGAAGATGTCGCTGATTTCCTCGAGGGTGCGGCGACGTGTTTCGACGAAGAAGAAGTAGATGACGATGAATTCGAATATGTCCCAGAAGATGAATAGGAAGTAGTACTGCGAGGAAAAGGTTAGCAGGGGTTATGAGCTGACAAGGTGATCAGACATACCCTCCATCCTGCGCCTGAAAACGCAATTCCAGTAACAAAGGTGTTGTAGAAGTTTGCAATGTTCACCCAGAAGTTGTAAAACGCCATCCCTTTGGCCCTAGATTCATATCGTAGACACTCGACCGGATATAGCTGCTGCAACGGCGTGTAACCTGTCGAATAGACAAACCCGAAGATAAAGAAGAACGCGATCACTGCTCTTGCCTGTCCGATCCTCTCGATTTGCGGTGTATGATTTGCATCGTAGATTGGCTTTCCATCTGGTCCCTTTTTGAGATTGGTGGCAACTAGGGCGCAGACAATAGTGAGGATGCCAACGAGTAGGCCGGTGGACACGAGGAGTTGGGGTCGACGGCCCCAGGAGTCGGTGTAGACGGCGCCAAACACCGCGCCGGCGAATGAAACAACGTTCTGCATTCCGTTATAGAGAAGGCGTGTGCGATTGTTGGCTATGCCAGCGCCCTGAAGTATAGTTGGGTAGTACTGCAGAGGTAGAGGTACGAAGTCAGTCTATGTCTCACATGCACTCCGTACAGTCAAAACTTACGTAGGATACAGGGCCATTACCTGACCACTGTCCAAAGAACGCCATGCACACTACTAACATAGTTCTGTACCGAGCTTCTCGTGAGTTGAAGAGTTCTCGGTAATCCCACCATCTCTTATCTGATCCAGTAACGCTGATATCTTCGACCATCTCCTTATACTCCAGCTTGACGATAGGCGAATCGCGGTTACCCTCGCCATGAAAGCGTGCCATAGTATCCAGGGCTTCCTCATGACGGTCATTTGCGATGAGCCATCTAGGCGTTTCTGGCAGGAACGGCGAGCTCACAAACACAATTCCAGCGAATATCATCTGAAGCCATATTGGAAAACGCCAGGACTGTGATCCGTCGATTTTGCTAGTCCCATACGGAACAAACGTGCCTGGGATCCCGCCGACGTACCAGAATGTATTGAAGATTCCCGTGCAAATGCCGCGGTAGGATGGGTGTGCCATCTCAGACACATAAGCGGGACCAGCGGTCGAAGTAATAGCAACGCCAAAACCGAGGACGAAGCGACCGCCCATGAAACCTGCTAGGTTGGAGCACGATGCTTGGATGCAGGCGCCGGTTATGATGATTGAGGTACCAATACACATCCCCCATTTTCTTCCTCTAAAGTCTGTTGCAGGACCAGCAACGAAGGATCCGACTAGGTTCCCAATGGTGTAAATGGCATAGACGATTCCGGTAGTAGGAGTTCCCTCGGTCTCATTAAAATTGAAATAAGAACGATACTGAGGGTAACTGTTGATTGCCCCCATGAGCGATCCATCGTATCCGTTGATGCACGAGTTGAGTGTGGCGATGAAAAGGCAGAGATATAGCTATCACACCGTCAACACCATCCTGGAACAACGTTTTTGTCATAATACCTTGAACATGGCCTTTGTCCATGGCCGAACGTTAGCCTTAGCCGTTGCATCGGCAAAAGCAACGTTCTGCACCTGGCGAATTTGCGTCGAGCTGCTGCGCTCCGTATGCGAAGTGTGCACATCCCTCTTGTGGCGGTAATCCATGTCGACAAAGTCCCGCCACGGGAAAAACAATACTATTGTCGAAATGAATTGAACAATGAAGTCTTCCTCAAGCCCAAGGTAACGAACAGCATGGCCCACGCATCAGCATTCGACAGACAGAAACACCGCGGAGCTGCGAGCGCGGACGCAAGGCACAGTAATATATTCCGTCCCCATCCACGCGACCAAGGAATCCAGATTCGCCTCGCCAGTAAGAACAGCGTGAGCTATACATCCCCGTACTTAAAGCGCAGCCTCGCATGCATGTGGCACAGTGCAGGGGGGTCCCGCATGATGACCGGGTATTTGCAGACCTGCGGATTCGCTTAAATCTGGGGAGACAGCAATGATTGGAGTCTGGCTTGAAGGGTAAGATGAGATGGCTTGGGGTTGTGGGTAGCCATTTCACATGCTGCTCAAGGACATGTAGCTTATGCGACAGCTTTCTGACTGTGTGTCAGTTGGGTGTTGGTGGAGACGCATCCCGCATGTTGGTGGAAAAGCCCTTGCACCGAATGGAAGTATTCCGTTTCAGAGAGTGAGACCTCGCGGAAGCGATGGAAGAATCGAGGAAGCCACCGAGGCCGCCCATTCGTACCATGCCGCAATCCCTTCGCTTCGCGACTGCCTGGCGTTCTGACACAGGGCAGATGCAGGCGTCATCGCACGCCCTTGTGAGACCTGGGCTGAGCTGCAGTATCGGCGGCGAGAGCGACGTTTGGCAGTCTGCGGTACATGTTTGATGCTATTGTTCAAGAATGGTTGCTAATGTTGATGTTTGCGAAAGATGAAGTCTAGAAGACGGCCCTGCCGCCCTCCACCCGCAAACCGAGCTAGCGGACCGAACAATCCGGGGAACGCAGGGGAGGTGCGACCCGCTGTCCAGAACACTTCAGCCGTCTTCAGCTTTTCTTCGCGACAATTGCACCGACAAATGCTTTACGCTCACGAGGACAGCATTTACAGCTAGCAGTGGTCAATTAGCAAGCTACCTTTCATCTGCAGTCTTGTCACTGAACGCCAGCCCCGCTCGCCACTACTCGGCCTCTTAATATACACATATTGAGCTCCACCTCCACTACCGACATAGCATGCCAGCGGTTCCTGAAAGAACAGGGATCTTCGTGTCGTGTGATCCGCCATACCTTCTTCAGGGTTCTGGAAGCCAATACATGTCTCTGCCATTACATCACCATTTGCGCACGCTGGAGTCATTAATATCAAAGATAAACCCTCTGGCTATTATACATGCATCCTAGTCTAAAAGGCGACGGGGAAAGGTGGCTCTACAAGCCTCCCTATAACCTATGATGAATGCAAAAGCTACCTCCTCCACTGCGACGTCCAACCGCCAATAGGCTGATAGTACAGAAACACACTGCTCACGCTCAAGTCCGACGACGTCGTTTACTCGTCGTCGTCCGGGTTCGTGTCGGACTCGTAGATAAACTCACCCGGAGCGGAAGCCTCGGCCTCGCCCTCATCCACCATGTTATCACTGACCGGCGCTGCAGCAGTTGTTACTGATATGCCTTCTGGTCCTTGATCTCCTGAAGAGCCCGACGCGCCAGGGGCAGGGGCAGGCACGGCCTTCTTTACCTTGAGCTCTAGGAGCGTCTTCGGTTCTGAAGGCTTCGTGTCTGTGAGAAGAATGACACCGAGTGTTGGCTGGTGATGGGTTAGCTTAAGGATCTTCGGCGTGGTGAGCAAATGACTAACCTTCTTCACTGGTACATATCGTTCGCTTGGGAAGCTGATGTACTTCACTTGGGGCGGCAGTACACGCGACATGTTCTCCAGCTCGTAGCCAACCTTCTCCTTCTCAACCTTCTTCTTTGAAGACTCCACATTTTGGGCACCGTCAGCCTTCTCGCCATCTTCCTTCTTAGGATCCTCGTCTACGTCCATCTTGTCGTCGTCCGCAGGCTTGGGTGTGGTAGGAGTGTGGTCCACATCCATGCTTTCCCTCCGCTTTTGGCGCTCCTTTACCATCCGTCGTCGCTTATCTTGAGCGGTGGTGGATAGGACTGCGGTCTTGATCTTCTCGGGCGCCTCTTCTGCCTTGACCTCTGCGTCTGGCGGGTAATCGAACATGCTTGGCCTAGTGTTGCTGTGGAACTTGAACGAAGGGATCTCCAACTCCTGGTCTAGACCAATGACGGCGGTAGACGTGAAGCTCAACGAGAGAAAGTGAGTCAGAGGGAACCAGTACCAGTACTGGGTGAAGACGGCCATACCGACGATGGCCGCCATGTTCAGGTTGCCGGTCGGCGTCTGCAGACCGATTGTGCAATTCCTACCTCCGGCATCAATGATACCCAGGGCAAGAGCAGCACCGAACTTGGCCATAGCATCCTCGTGGCGATCGCTCACCACCTTGGCGAGCTGCTTTCGGATAGATGCTACCTTGGGGTTCATTGCCTCGTTTTGCTGTACCATGATCATGGACAGCGCAATCAAAGCACCTTGTCGGACGAAGTCGGTTGAGTCCTTCATCATTGGCTCCAATAGATCAACAGCCTCTGGGAGACCAGTTCCCGCGCAAGCAATACCCAGAGCCATGGTGGCTCCGTATCGCACATGTGGGTTGTATGACTCTGCGAGAAGCTCGACCATGCGGGGAACACTGCCTGGCTTCCTGAAGAGGATGAAACCCAAGCTCATGACTGCAACTCTTCGTACATCATCGCTGACGTCACTGACGGCAACGTGAAGTAACCTTCGGACGGCCTTGTTGCTGCCTGTGCCACAGTACGCAAGAGCGATGGTCATGATACCTCCGTATCGCAGAGTTGGGTCCGGGTCGTCGAGGAGACCGTTGATGAGCTCGTCGGCAGCCTCTTGTCGGCCGTACATGATGAGTGCCATACCCATGGCTAGACCGCGAACAATCTTCTCGTGCTGTGTGTCGTGCGCATACTGGATCATGTCTTCGAGTGCCTTGATGTTGCCAGTGCCGAGCATGACAAGACCCATGGAGAGACCGACAGCCTCACCGTTGATGGCGGAGTCTGTGTACAGAACGTTCTTGAACGCCTCGAAGATCTCCTCGGAGCCAGTGGCCATGCCAGCAACACCAAGACCGAGCGCACCACCGTGCTGGATGACCTCCTCAGATGCGTTCTGGAACTGCTTCAGGAGCAGATCAAGAACGTTGGATCCGTGGTTCGCGTAGATCAGACCAAGGGCGTATAGTGATCCACCCTGCTCGTAATGAGAGCCCGATGAGACACTGTCCTTGGGCAGGTAAGGCTCAAGAAGCTTCTGCCCTTGTGTGATGTTGCCGCGGTGGATGACACCCAGAGCAGCGGTCGCGGAGAATTTGGACCAGTTGACTGCCTTTCCTAGCCATTCCAGGTTCTCGCGGAAGAATGTGTCATTGGTAGTGCCAGCATTCATGAAGGCGTTGGCGAAGGTAACACTGGAGTGGAAGATGGAGTTCCTAGCCTCTAAGCTGTCGCGGACCTTGTTGAGCACAGCCTTGTCTGTGCGGTTGTTTCTGTACAGGAACTCGAGGTTCAGTTCGATGCTCTTGGTTCCGCGGAGAATGTAGCGGACATTGTTGTAGACCTTGATCTGATCTTCACTCGCCTGGTCACCCTTTGAGTTGCTAGTATCCACATCTGCGAGCAGAGAGTCCGACTCGCCTGCATCCAAGGGTTTCTGCGCGTCTTCCTTCTCAGCTTCCGGCAGCTCTTCCATGATCTTTGTGAGGAACTCTTGTGTGCCGTTCTCGTAGAGGTCGAAGGAGATCTGGTATGCGACTGCGCGAGACTTGTCATCTCCTCGCTCGATCAGCTGCCGGATGAGCTTCGAAGCCAGCGAGTGTTGGTTGAGGTATACCACACACTTGGCGATGGAGAAGTAATCAGGGTTCGGGATCTGGTCGTCGTTCAGGAGATCCAGGATCAGGCGGAGGATCTCGTTCCTGAGGCCTCGCTCTTGTACAACGTTCATGCAGATGTCGAGAACGTATTCCATCAGGTCCTCGCTCTGTGCGGAGGGCTGCGCGGGCTTCTTGCCCTGCTTCTTTCCGTCCTGGCTTGCGCGGACAATCGACTCGCGCAGGACATCGAGATTCCGCGCCTCGATGGCAATTCCAACGACCTGCTTGTAGTTGCCGCTCTCGTAGCAGCTCTCGAATATCCGCCGTACAGTGCTGTGGAGGTTCTTCTGCACGTTTCGCTGCAATA